TCTGGCCTGTACCCCAGTTCTGTATGCACAAATAAATAAAATCTTAAAAAAAGAAAAAAGAAATGTCATCCTTCCAGAATGGGTAGTTAAACAATAGCAGAGTTCACAGTCAAACAGTTTATTTTTTTAAAGATTTATTTTTATTTATGCATACAAAAACTCAGGGGTAGGCCAGAGCGGGCAGAATGAGGGGATTCACCAGAGACAGAATGGAGAGCAGGACAGGTAGAGCTACTGAAATACACTGCTGAGGGGAGCAGTGGGGAGACAGGAAAGGTCTGCTGCTCCATGTGGGTCGGCTCCCTCGTGGGAGATCGAACTCAGGCCACAGTGGCTGGTGATAGCTTGATAGCACTGAGATTTTAACCCCTGTGCGACCAGGGAGGCCCAGAAGAGTTTAAATAGCATCTAAGATCATCCTAGGAAGAAAATTTCACAAGGAAAACTTTGGCTCATTGAAAGGTCCGTTTCTGAAGTGAGACCTCATTTCCACACTTGCCAAATGCAGTCCAAAAAGTAAGATGATATTGTCTTCTGGCACCCAGGAGACCTCCTCTAACTCTGTCCAATCAAAACATTTGTTATGCTTCAGACTGCTGTCCAGATGTGTGGGTTGTGTACTGAACAAAGATGCCTGAGAGAGGGGTGCAAAAATCTTGCCCTTACTGCCTTGGAAGCACATACCATGGTATAAGGCTGCTTCACACTGGAGAATAAAGTTTCTTTTTCTCTGCAAAAAGGTGTTATCCACCTTCCTAGCTGTGCACTGGGCCAAAGGGGTGTGATGGGGGAAAGGTACCAATTCCTAATTTGCATATTCATGCCATAGCGACTAGCTGTGACCCTGGCTGGTTGTACCCCTTCAACCTGCAAACTAGTGCGAAATTCAGAATTAGTGAATTCAAAGCCAAGTAAATGATTTTTTAAAAATATACTATAAGCAGTAATTCTTTGGGAGAAGTTTTAAGCTGAGTCTTAACAATCAATGATTTATAGTTATACATTTAAAGGAATAGAGACTGCAGGTCAATAAATATTAAGTATCTATTATATGCAATGCAATAATGAATTAAGAACATAAAGTTTGATGTGTGCCCTTAGCATGGTAACTGAAACACAAGCTCACACGGACATTTAGAGGGTGATGAACACTATACAAGGTTTTCACTGCAAAGAAAATTGAGAAAAAGTAGCTATTTTAGTAGAGCTCGTTCTTCCAAGCTTTTAAGAAAATGGTTGACTGCACCAAACAGCAACTACTCATAGTTACAAAACAGTTCAAAAATGTGCATTATTTTAAAAATCAATTCCACACTTCTGTTCACCTTCCTCCTCCTCACCACTTTCCCAGCTGCAAACTAGTTCATTACACTTTTATTATCCACTTTAAATAACATAATGCAAACATTTACAAGTGTTCTTTCTGTATCAATAGTGCATACATTTTAAAATTTGTATAGGACAGGCTCATATTCTTTAGTTACAGAACCTGACACTCCTAGGGCTGAGATGCTGGAAAAAGAGTTCCCAAAATAGTATTAGTATCCTAATATTCAAACATGTCTGAGATTTGTGCTCTATGGATTTCCTTGCCTAGTAACATGACTATTATATGTTGTCACCAAGAAACACAAAATTCACTCAAACTAGAAAAAATTTTCTTTCCTGCAAGTCCATTTAATTCAAGGTGTGAAAAATTAACTTTTTCTTAAAATGTACTTTAACTGGTATATGGAAGATACAAGTGTTTCAGGAAAACCCTTCCCTAAAAACAACCAAAAACTCTTATTACCCACATGTCACTTACATCTTAACAAGATTTTTAAGTATTTGTGAAATAGATTCTATTATATTCACTAGCCACACTAAATAAAGTACAAGTCTCAGGTCTGGTATGATAATACACACTTGCATATGTATGAACTTCTACATCTAAAACATATACAGTATTAAGACAATGTTACACCTCAATAAACATAAGTTTAACAAAAAAAAATCACAAGTGTACACTGTGAACTGTGTCTTGATTACTATATATGGTTGAACATACAATTTTTTTGCACATCCAAATTCTATATTTTATATCTAGATGCAAAGAGTTCTCTCCTGGACTTCAGCAACAATTTGTGAATTATGAACAAAGTTCTATAAGGCTAAAATTAAAATATTTCTATTCCTACTGGACGAAATCCAAAGACCCTACACACCCCCTGATCACTTCACCTTATCACTTGAGTCCTCTGCCCTCTGTTCCTAGGATGTAAAACCATTCCAGCTAGTGTCCTACAATGATATAGACATAAATGACTGGAACTACCCTGGGAGGTAGTTTGTAAGGACTGTAATTTACTTTGATAGTTCCCATCTGTCTTCTTGGCTGTGATTATCATCAGATTCCATCAAATAAAAAAATAAATTAAAATCAAGGTGAATTCTTAAAATGCTGATGTACCTAGATTTTATTGGCATCTCTAACCTCAAGAACTAAAGTTGACCTCTATGAATGATATTGACTGTACCTGTGAGAAATTATCTTTACAAACAGCTGAATAGCTGTAATTAAGGAATAAGATATAACTGTGAAGAAAGAATCACTGGTTACAAAGTGAAGCAATACAAACCACCCATATTGTGGGTGTTGTCCACCAGCAAATGCTGGTGGTTCAGAACAGGCCAGCACAAGGTGATGACAAGAGTAGGCTGTTCTTTACTCTGGTGGTTTCAGACTGTGGCCTGAGCAATTCTAGACTTCCAAGAGCCCTCCCTGTTCCAACTACAGCAGTTTCCCCCAGTGTACAAATTTAATTTCTACCTAATCTTAACTTGGAATCAGTGTAACATTTTTTAATGGCTTGAAAACCACTGCTTTCTAAAAAATAAATATTCTCTGGTAATTAGTTAGCATCATCAGCCTTATTTAATTTTCCAACTCAGATATTTATCTCCAAGGGTATTCATTATAGCATCCTTCTGAAAACGACCAAAAACATTCTGGCTTGTTCTCATTTTTGTCGCAATGTTAGAAAAATTCCAGAAAAGAAAGAAAACTTCCCATTTTTCTCTCACCATTTTAACTATTGACACATTTAATACTCTCCTCCTTTAAGTCAAAGATAGTTATCAGATGTTTCACTGTATTGCAGAATATAAATAACCAAAGAAAACAAACTGGCAAACGCAACAAAAATAATTCTTAGTGTCTGAAAAATATAGTGGTTGCCAAAGCTGGTGAGGGGGAGAGGAAAGGAAAGAATAGCAACACTGCATGGAGCATTGGTGCAGGGGGAATGAAGCTTGTGGCCACAGGGAGGGATGACAGGGGCTCCCGAAATCATATTGTCATGTAAATGATTGGCCCATCAATACCATTACAGAATAAAGGCATCCTTTTTTTTTTTCTTTTTTTTTTGCAGATGAACTAAGGCCAGAGGTGAGGGGAGGTGGGGCTTAGAGGAGCCATCCGAGACTAAGTGGGGAGCAGAACTGGCAGCTCTCCTGAAATACACTGCTGAGGGGAGCAGCAGGCAGGACACGAGAGGACGGCTCCCTCTCCGGATCTAGAACTCAGGCCACAGCAGTAGTAGTGCTGCAACTTCACTCCTAGGCCACGAATGAGGCCCAATACTTAAGCTTTACTATAAAGTGGTGGCTCAGAGCCTGACTGCGAGCTTACCTTCTCTGCGGTGCTGTGTGATTTCCACCGTGAGTTAGCAGCCTTTGGCTTCGGTTTGAAGAACTCCTTTCAGCATTTCTTGTAAGGCGTTATTAGTGGTGATAAACCTCCAGCTTCTCGCCATTTTGGACACAGGGATCCCAGGGATAACTGCTGAACAACTGCTTTGCAAAGGCAGAGAGGGACTTTACTTCAAGAAGTAAGAGAAACTCAAACAGAAAATCCCGGTACAGTTATCCGCCTTCCCTCGGCAGTTCTAATTATGCCACTTTGCTTTCGTGATCGGCCTCAGCCGGCGGCGCACACTGCCGCAAAGCAGACGCTTTTGCTGTTCTAGTTTTTTCAACTTTTGTCGTAAAAATGGAAATCCTTTCCGCGTTTGTTGCAGGCAGCAAAAACTAATCGCTATAGTTCTAGTGGTGACGAACCCTCTCGGCTTCTCACCATTTTAGACACAGGACTTTCCCAGGGAATAACTGTTGAATGAATATTTTGCAAAGTAAATTATCAAAGTGGCTGTAAGGAACTTTTCACTTTGTTAAGGGGACATTCATCTGCCAAACAAATAACAGTGAGGATCACGTGATGAGGACCCTTCCCCTATAGACAGGCAGTGTGGCGTGTGGTAACATGCTGAGCTGCCTAGCTGAAGAGTTCTCTGAGGATGAGGAGAGAAGCCTGGGGGAAGGCTGCAAAGATAGAGGTCATCATAGTGAAGAAAGGAACTAAGACCCTCCCTGGTGGCGCAACGATTGGAGCGCAGCACTGCAAGCTAGCTGCAGCAGATCCTGCCCGGGGCTGACCCACGTGGCCCGGCAGACCTCTCCTGACCCACCCGTTGCTCCCCTCAGCAGTGTACTTCATCCATCTGCCTGTTCTGCTCCCCGCTCTGTCTCTGGTGAAGCCTCTCGCCACCCCTGAGCCTCTGGCCTGTACCGCAGTTCTGTATGCATAAATAAGTCTTAAAAAATAAAAGAAAGAAGGGAATTAAACTAGACCTTGAGTATACAATAGATACATAACTGGCTCTGAAAGAGGGCCAAAAAAAAAGTCAATGTAGTGAGAGAAAATGATTTCTCTTTACTATACACACGGTTGAAATTCATTAGACTTGAAAGCAGTCATAGTTGGAAATTGGTAACTGATCTGAGAACATATCTTTGTTTCCTGGTATCAGAAAAAGGCCTTGAGGGAGAAATGGCTTCTAGATGGAATCAGCAGCAGTGGAAAAGAACAGGAAGAGATGAAGAAGCAAAATCAACAAGACCACCACCAGATTCAGCTTCTAGAACAAAGTATCCTCAGGTATGGCCCGCACAGATACTCCGTAACTACCTTTACTTTTTGACTTTGTTCCATGTTGCATGTACAAGAGTCACCCTCATTCGCTCAGGCACAATCAGATCTTCCAGTTGGAATTTGAAGAAAGGCTGAGGAAATAACAGCAGCTGCAACAACTGAAATGTTACTGTGTCATGTAGGCATTGCAGCACACGACTTATTTTTAAAATACATACTGGTGACTTACCCACAGCTCTCTGAGTTCCCTTCTTCATCTACAGAATGGTAGTAGCAGTATCAATCTTTTAAAGTGATTGAGCAGATTTTAAAATGTGTATGTTAAGCTGCTAGCGCTTCCCTGACACAAAACAGTGATCAGAGAAGAGTTCACATCCCCAACCTCACCCGCATTTAGGACAGGTCACAGTTTTAAGGGCGTTTTACACCATCATACTTCACCCAGGCCCTCCCCAGTGACCACCGTGATATTTTGGAAGAGTAGACGCTATAGGAATACTTCCCTGACATTCTCCCTCTTCTCTTTCCTCTCTGATCACCGTTGATGCCCTCTCGTCTCCAAGTCCTTTTCTTCCCATCTTCCATAGCAGGCAGCAACTTCTGATCCAACCATGATGCTTTTTAATTGCTTTGACCTAAAATGATGTGATTGACATGAAAAAATTTGAAAGTGCAAAGATAAGATGGTATTTTTAGTATTATCAAAAAATATAGATCACCTGGAAGAAAGAGATATGGGGAGTGTCAGCATCACTTTGTAACCTACATAGAAAGAAGATGGAACTTCTGGTGATGTAAATAATGACAATCATTTAAAACATGTACCTTGGAAACACAGTTAACTTTCAAAACCTCACTCCTTGCAGATTTTTATGTTTAGTGGAGATAATAAAAAAGGTCTAGAAGATAAAAACATCCAGTCATGCACCAGAGGATAAATATTGCGTGATGTATGATGGAAGAATGATGTTTTAGTGTTTAATAGGCACAGAGTTTCAGTTTGGGGTGATAAATATTTCTGGAGATGGATGGTAATAGTGGTTGCACTATATGAATGTACTTAGTGTACTGACCTGTACATTTTAAAATGTAGAAAGAAATTGCTTTTTTCCCAGTTTTATTGAAAAAAAAATTGACATGTCACTTTATAAATTTAAGATGTATAGCATGATGGTTTGATTTAAATATACTGTGAAATAATTACAACAGGCTTAGTTAACATTCATCATCTCATATTGATTTAATAAGAAGAGATTTTTTTCCTTGTGTGGTGAGAACTCTAGCTAGGTACGCTTCTTGCTAAGTCCTCTCTTAACAGTGGTAACATTAGTGTTATGTATATTTTACCACAATAAAATAAAATTTAAATTTTTAAAAGAAAAAGTATCCAGTCATGGTGTTAGGACCATATTTTATCCTTACCTTGATGTACAAACTGATTGCATCAGGCCTAAAATTGGCAAGGAAAATAGCTTCCTTTTGTCAAGCAATTTCTATTTTCCTGCATAATTGCCTGCACTTGTATATTTAATAGTGAAAATCATTGACTTCTCATGCTTATTTAGGTGGTTTTTACATAATAATTTTTTTTAAGTTACATGTGATATATTTTTACATCTACATCAGTTGTTTGCACAAAGACTTGAAATGCTTCTGCATGATAGATACAAATACTCAATAAATCAACTCTACAACTTGGGGAACCTGCTTCTGTCAAGGCCTCTCTAGCAAGAGTTTCTTACCCATGGCTGCCTTAGCTGATTACCTTCCTCATTCCTCAATGCTGAGCTGGTTATCTCTGCAGAAGTGCTACACCTAATCCCTGCTCTTGATTCCCTCAAGTCCCCTTCTGAGAGAATCTTCAAATACTAAACACCTACAAATTTCTCTGCACCTAATGATAATCAAAGTGGCAACATACAATTAAACTCCATTAGAAAGTCTGGGCAGCATTCTGAGTAATCCCAGAGAAACCTGCACCTACTGAGGACTTTCAGGTCTTTCCTGGATGTTCTAGAAGGAGCACATGAGATTCAAGGAGAATAGATAGCAGCTTGCCTAGTTAGAGCTCCTCTCTCTCTCTCTCTCTCTCTCTCTCTCTCACACACACACACACACAGAGAGAGAGAGAGAGAGAGAGAGAGAGAGAGAAACATACTGAGCCATATTACATGCAGGCACTTTATATATGTATACATCATCCCATTTAATCTACATAACCCTTCGAGGCAAGTATTATTATCTTCATCTTCTGCAGTGAGAGTAAGCAAGTCATACAAGGAAGTAACAGATCAGAGACTAAAGCATTTGACTGCACTGTGCTCCCTATTAACTAACAGCCCACAGGAATGTCTCTGGGTTGAAAACCCCTCATCTCTTAGAGGAAGTCTTTGTAGCAAGTTCTGTTCCTTGGTTCATCCTTCTCCAAACAGCTCCTACCACTCTTCTTCCATGGCCCTCTAATATCTTTGTTCATTATAAATTACATGTCTATTCAATGTGCAGTGCTGACATCTCACTACCAATTGATTTTAGATCTTCAGGATGCAAATAACCAAATGATTTTAATCCCCAGTTGTAAATAATAACAATAGGTTTCATTTTTTAAATGGCCTTATGCAATTTGCAAAGGACTTGGGCTTACATTGTCATTTATTACAGCAGCTGTAGAAAGAAAGAACACTTCATAGATGATGCAATAGATAAGGGACTTACTTAAGGTCACAGTAAAGGCTAAGACTGGGGCCTCAAAACATGTCAGATTCAATTTTCTCCTGCAATAAAATTAAAACATATATACCTGTTGGTATAATAATAGTAAAACAGCTAACAGGAAACTGCTTAGTCTAAACAATGATCTGAAAAAGATGTATTTGCAAATAGTAAAGAATTGCATCACCATGGCCCATAAAATCATGTTTATTTTGTTAAAAATGTGCAGAAAGCAAAATGTGCTAAGGTAACATTCAGAGACAAAACATGTCTATGCCTTGTCTATATTAAGCAGTCTTCACTACTGCCCAGCTCTACAGAAATTCCACAGCCAGCATAGCTTTACCTGATAACTAAGCACTTTCTTCCCAGTTAGTCCTAAAGCTGCTACATAATCAGGTACACGTTTCTAAATCCACTCTTTGCCTTAAGCAACTACTCACAGTGCTCAAGAAGCTTTTCTTAGCAGCTAAATACAGTATATTTTCCAGTTAGTTCTGAATAGCAACCAAACCAACTGATGAAGTTGAACCAGGCCAAGCCATCTTCCTTCCCTCAGCAGGGAAAGTGATTTATCACTTGACTGAGGTGCCTGCTCAAGAGTGACATTTGCCATCTGCCAGGCCTCTCAGCAAGAGGATAAGGCTTTCTTAGGAATATCAAAATAGAAATATTGCTGTTACCTCAGAGGCTGCAGCAGGGCCAGACTGTCCCCATGACGTTTCTATCTCTTCTGCCTCCACGATTTTGTATGATGAACTGAAAGGGCCAAGCCTTTGGCATTTCAGTCCCTGTCTGTCGACCATAATACTTAAGTCTGGGCACGTTTGTCTCTTCAGGCCTTGATTCCTTGTCTGTAGTAGCGGCCGCTTGACAGAGCTGCTATGTAGAAATCAGCTTTCATGTCTGACACATGGTAGATGTTCAAAAACTATTAAATACTACTCCTTATTGAGAATCAAAAATAACTCCAAGAAAGACACTGCCTAAAGCTTTATCCTCCAGTCTTTATTAGTTCGCCAAGATCACTCATTTCTTTCTGCCAACATTTCCTCATTTCTTTGAAGAAACTGAGATCACCATACAACTAAGATTCTTTCATTCGGAAATAATCTATGGATTTTTCTTTATGGCGTGAAGAGCAAAATGTTAATAATAGGGATTAATTTTTACAGAACATTTGTTATTGACCAAACACTGTGCTGAGCACATCACATACATTGTTTCATTGAATTCTCACAGCTACCTTCTGAGATAGATAGTAGTTAACAGATGAGAAAATTGACATTCATAGAGGTTAACTTCCCTTAAGTCAGACAGCTAAAAAACGGCCATTAAGAATCGAACTAAAGTACTAATCATAAGAGTGAAATTGTGATTCAAATCCTGCAGAAAAACATTAGGAAAGTTAAATTATATAAATGCTTACAGGATTTGCAGCATTTTTTATTTCCCACCGTGGTGATTTCACTCACAGGCCTCATTCTATCTAGTTGTTTATGTCAGTTTTTTACCACATTAAAAACATTCAGAGGTTGGGCCCTCCCTGGTGGCGCAGCAGGTTAAAGCACAACACTAAGAAGCTAAAGCCACTTCTGCATGAGCTCAATCCCCGGCCCCGGAGGTGACCCACTGGCGTGGCAGACCTCTCCTGACCCACCCGCTGCTCCCCTCAGCAGTGTACTTCATCAGTTGGCCTGTTCTGCTCCCCACTCTGTCTCTGGTGAATCCTCTCACTGCTCCTGTACCTCTGGCCTGTACCGCAGTTCTGTATGCATAAATAAATAAATCTTTAAATTTAAAAAAAAAACATTCAGAGATTCCCTGACTCACAGATAACCTTAAAGTAAAGCAAGTGTCCTTATTCATCCTCTCCTCTTTTCCTCCAAAGAGAAGGAAATAAGTGGGTTTCCATGTTTGTCCTTGAGTCACATGCTTAGTTTAGAAACAATATTATTGAGTATTTTGCCTGGTTTCCTGATGAATATCTTAGGAGGAAATGTTCTCAGGAGGAAAGCCATATTGGACACCTCCTTCTGAATCACTTTGTTTAAACAGAGTTTCAGTTAGCTTCACAAGTCAACCTGCTCTTACCGCGAAGCATTTTCCCGATTGTTGGTCCTGGTGCAAACCCAGCATTGACTGCTCAGTTCCAACAGCCAATGCACACATCTATAGACTCCTTTAGAAAACCCATTCTGCAACTTCCACTCTTTCCTCCATCGCAAACAACACCCCAAGATCATCAGAAGCATCCCAAGTTGCTGTGCTGTTTGTCACCTGGGCTCCCCTTC